TTTTCTAGTTCTCTTTTATGGATTTTGTATCTACTTAAATGGAATTGCTTTAGTTTGATTTGGGTGATATTGGATCTCTAATTTTTCAAGGCATTTTTGTGGATTTGATCATGGTGAGGTTTTAGGGCTTTAACTATTGAAATCGACGAGATAGGGGAATTGAGTCTTGAGCATATAAGGATTGAAGTTAATCTTAAGAGTATAATCCCCATCCATGAGATTAATCCTCATCCATGGTTCTCAGAGTGTCGTCCATCACTAGATTTGGCATTTGGGTTGTTGGTAAAGAAAATTAGATGATACCTAAAGGCAATTTGTATCTTTTCGCATGCCACTTAATGGCTAGTTAATGAAAGGTATTGGGTTGGCACATTTTGAAAGTTTGGGTACCGAGTTGTCGCATTTTAAAGTTCGGGGACCAATGTGACACTGGGCCCAAATTACAGGGTACTAATTGAGAAATTTCCCAAATTATTAATAAATATATAAATATTTTATATAATTTATCACCAAGTTCGAGGAATTATGTGCTAATCCCATCACCGCCCTGTCCCTAATTCGGAGAAAAAATATTTTCTCCATCTCCATCCCGTTCCCGTTTAAGATAAGGGAAAACTCACCCCATTTGGGGTAGGGTCTTGCTTTATGGAAAAAATTATCAACCCTATAAACTCACCCCATTATAACCACACATTAGATACATTTCTTGTACTAGTAAGTGTGCCTGTGCTTTGCACGTGGCAATTCTAGATGGCGATGATAATAGTAATAATGTATCCAAAATTTTCTATAAATTTGTATTTTTTTTATTTTTTTATTTTTTTTTTTCATTATTAATCAGATGCAGATTGCAAAATGCAAATCTGATTACATAAACACCTCATCCAAATATGTAATAATCAGATCGAGTTGTGAAGTTTCAAGTATCACTGACAGGCCTACCTACTTGGCTAGGTTCTTTTTATAATGTTTTATCTTTTTGGTGTGTCTTATTTTTTTTTTTTTTTTGTTTATCAAGGAAATGTAAGATTTAAATAGAGGGAATTGAATGTGGAGAAAAATAGTAGTTTGATTTATAATTTAAACTTCCAATTAAATAAAGACTAAATTCAAAAGTAAGTATTTTAGTCAAAAAAAAAGTTCCACAATTTTATTCATACTTTTAATAGTAGTGTAAATTTAGAATAGCATATGTGCTCAATTTTTGTTATAATTTTTTTGTATTTCTATGTGTAAAAAATAATTTTGATATGTCATACTTATTTTTTGTTTAATAAGATAATTATATGATATTATACATGTGTTATCCCCGGGCCCATTTTGCAGTTTCATGGACTAGCAAGTTCTTCTCTCTGGATATAAACAAATGATGCCCTTACTTGGGCCAAACACAACAATATAGAATATGGTTCACCACTTGTTATAATTCAAGATTGATATTTATAGACCCAAAGTTCAAATAGTTTATAGCAGCAAGACTACCAGAGTAGATAGAAATTTTCGAAAGAGATTTCAAAAGAGCAAACAACACAACCTCCTCTATCGCACACAATTCCATCTTGATGACCGACCCCATTCCTTGTCCCTACCAAGCCACAAAAGACCCAGAATTAGATAAATAGACGAAAGCATAGGTTCCCTAACCATTTTGCAGGACACTTCCATCACAAAAAATGGGCCTCCACCTCTTTCGAGTTCTCCCTCGAAAAGAGACACAGAGGCTTTTCTATTGGGGTATTTTCAGGGTTCTCTGCCCCTCGAGGCTGCTGAATTCTTACAGCCTCATATATGGCTTGCCGAATTTGTAAATATGCCTTGTTGCTAGTTCGGGACTTATTTTTGAAAAATTGGTCATTCCTGAACTACCAGATGTGGTAGGAAATCACCGCCACCCAAATAAAAAATTCTTTTTTTATCACTGTTAGTAGTAAGAAAAGAAAGAGCAGCAGTCACAGTCTCCATGATAGAAGCATCAATTAAATTCAAAACAAAAGCCATAGGAGAGGCAAACCAAATAACTCTTGCAAACGAACAATTAAATAAGAGATGAAGAGATGTTTCATTTTGAGTTTTACAAAACACACAACAAGAAGAGACAGAGAAACCCTCTGTTCAAGAACCTCTGCAATGACCACAAAACCTCACAATTGTCTCCAGAGGAAGAGTTTATATCTTGGCAGAATAGGCAAGGCCCACACTAATCTAAGGAGAGGAATAAGGTTAGAATTTAACACAGGGGTGTGTTGGGCCACCAAGTGATGGACAGTTGATCCCATGGTAAAAATACCTTTCTTTCCAAGACCCCAAAAGAATTTTTCTCTATTCTGAGTTCTAAAAATATGGGTCTAGTTAATTATCAAGGTCCAGTTTTGGTAAATATGCTGCTCTAGAATCCTCCTATTCCAGGTTCCATCCCCATTTATGGGGTATACGAAGGTCAATTGACATTGTTCCCAGGACGGGGGTCCCATGGGAGCCATGAAAACTTCCTCCCTTTTAATCCAAGGGTTACCCCACACTGTAATCTCTTTAGAGGGCTTCACCTTACAACCCAAAAACGGGAAGACTTGTACCAAGGCCTTGGCTAAATTCTTCCAGAAGAAGGAGGAGCTCTTACTAACTTTTTGAGGGAAGTAGTTTCTCTCTTCCAATACTTGCTTTTCAGGAGATGAATCCAAAGGGAATTCTCTCTGTTTAAGAAAGACCAGGCCACCTTCCATTAGAAGGCTTTATTAATATCTTTAGCTCTTCTAAGACCAGGCCACCCTCCCGTTTTTTTTGGCTAGCAAATGGTATCCTAGTTTGTCCAATGATAAGGATTTGAGTCATTTTTATGTTTACACCAGAAATCCCCCTGAATTTTATCCACTTTATCATTAAAGCTATCTAACAGCCTAAACATGGACATGACATGGTTTGGGATAGCTTAGATGACAGCCTTTGTTAAAACTAGTTATCCCTCTTGAGAAAGGTTTGTAGCCTCCCAAATATTGAGTTTAGAATTCAAGTGGTCTAGAATGAAACCCACAGTGTCTGCCTTATTTTTCTTCCAAATCAGAGGAATCCCAAGGTATCTTGCCTAGCTATCGAGGCTTCCCATTTTCAACTGTCTCTTGAGGAGTTTTTGACCCTTATGGCTTACACTTTTGCTGAAGAAAATGCCTGATTTCGCACAATTAACTACTTGTCCCAACATCCTTTGGAATTTACTAGTGGTGTCTACAAGGTTAACCTTATGGTCCCTCCGAGCTTTAACAAATAAGAAGACACCATATGCAAAGAATATGTGAGAAATTGGGGGGAGGGCGTTCCCTACAAATCTTAACACCCTCAATTAAACCCTGACTTTCAACTCCCCCTAAAAGTCTGGACAGGCCCTCCATAGCCAGGATAAGGAGGTAAGGGAAGAGAAGACCCTATTGTCTTAAACCCCTAATTGGAGCAAACTATCCCTCAGCTATTCTATTCATAAGAATTGAGAAGGAGACAATGGATATACAAAAACGCATTAGCTTACACTAGGTCTCAAAGAAACCTAGACTTCTCAGGACTTCGATGATATAGTCCCACTCAATTTTACCATATGCTTTGAGCATATCAACCTTGATGGTCATAGTCCCAACTCCTCTTTTGATATACTTCATCTATGTTCACACCTGATCCACCGTCTGCACTTCCTACATTCACTCCCGGAAATTGAAACAGGAAAACAGGAATTGTCACCTCCCGGTCTGCTGTAGTCAGCCTCACGGTGTGCAGTCATGCCCCTAGCCCTTTCTTAGCTTCGTAGCCCCATTCTTCCATCATCTTCCACTTGAGGTTCCTTTGGAGATTCCTCCTCTCCTAGGGGTGAGCTTTCTTGGCTTCACTCTAGAATCCGACTTTTTTGGCACTAGGATAATAAAAGTATGATTGAGGGATTTTACAAAGCGACCATTTGGGGCAGGGCCAAGTGCTACAGAAAAAATTGCCACCCCTATAAAACTCACCCCATTATAAGCACACATTGGAAAGGAAACATTTCTTGTATTTGTATATTATCAATGATTCCAGATTTGATCCCTATACACAGTTCAAACAACATCCCAACAACCCATTGTGGCAGAGTTTTGTTCTCCTAATGCAGGGCTGCAATCGCTTGTGATATTTATTAAGACCATGTATTGGGACTATATCCAAACTCATTATCAAATTATATAACTCATCCAGAGTTTTGTTCTCGATGAGTAGCTATAGTGTTTTAACTTCTGGGTAGACTCTAGTTAAAAAGTAAGAAAGGGAAAATTCCATTTCAGTACCCCGAACTTTGGGGGTAGTGTCAAATTAATATCTGAACTTTCAAATGTGTCATTGTAGTACCTAAACTTTCAAAAAGTGTCAAGTTGGTCCTTGTCGTTAACTGACCATCAGTTATCTGTTGAAAATGTCAAAACTACCTTCAAAAGAATATACTGTTCATTGTCTCTTACCTTGAGATTGAACCGGTTGTTTTCAAAGAAAAAAGAAAAAAAAACATGAAATATGATAGAGGGAAACAATAACTAAAAGCAAAGAAATAACTAGACAAGAATGCGTTTCAGATCTTACCTTGACAATGACTTCATTAATCTAGAATCTCAAACACCTCAACCGTTTCAGTCTCAAGGTTGAATACAATGAATAGTGTCTTCTTTTGAAGGGTAATTTTGACATTTTCAACAGATAATTTATGGTTGGTTAACGGCAGCGATAAGGACCAACTTGACACTTTTTGAAAGTTTAGGTACTGCAGTGACACGTTTGAAAGTTCGGGTATTAACTTGGCACTACCCGAAAGTTCAGGGTACTAAGTGGAATTTTCTCAAGTAAAAACTAAGAATCTATTATGAAATTCTACGATCACACATACTGAATGGAAGTGCAGGAAAATAAGTGTACGAGACCAGGAAGAAAACAAAAGGAAGCCAGATATTTCTAGCAAACTACTACCCATTGGAAACGTTATCCAAACTTAAGTCGTCTTCAGCTGATGAACACATGCATGCCCATTAACCATTTTGGTTGTCAAGGGAGTTACAGACAGGCCGGCATCGAATTTTTATTATGGAATGCATTATTTACTCCTACCTTCCCACACTCTCACACATCAAACACAGGCAAACCACACCAACCAGGCTGTTTGGGCTTCCCATCAATGAAACCACCAAGCTGCCACAAGGAAAATTCCTTGTCTCAACGCCTCCTCTGAGGACCCAAGCTTTCACGACCTCATCTGTCGTCCTCGGCTTCAATTCTTCCTCAGCCGATTCCCCGGGTGACTTCTCTGTCTTGATTCAGACAAGGTATCAGGCTTCAGGCATCGTCTCACTGATTAATCTTCATTTCATTTCAATAAATTGTTGATTGGTTTTAGACTTTTACGGAGCGGTGGAGGAAAAGGCGCCATCAATGCCTATAAGGATTGAACATGTAATAGCTCAATCAGACGTTTTAACTGGAAGAATTTTCATATGTTTCGTCCTAAATGGTTAAATGGATCGACGTAATGCATTTCCTCTTTTCAACGCCATAGTTCCGCATTCCACATTGTTCATATTTTGTGTACTTTATTTTTTTGGCAGTGCTGTACTCCTTTTTGTCTATTGGCTTGCAAATTTCGTCGTACCAGGCATAGTTTCAAAATATCTCCAATCTGATGGATCGAGTGAAGACGAAGCTCGCACTGATAAAAATCCCTAACAAGATGGAGGAAGCACGCGTACCACCAGTAAATCAGGATCAAGTGCGAAGAAATACAGCTTCAAGAAGACATACTGGTATTTGTTTTCTGGGTTTCTCATTGGTAAAACATCTTTTAAGACCATGCCTTAGCTTGTTTCATCCACAGTCCAAATATTGCAATGTCAGAGGATACTGACTTTGAGTTTGAACGTGTATCGAACTGAATAATGATATATGTCACTACATTGAATTCATCCATTTCACTCGTACCCTCATGCATCACTGATCCCAAAAGAATAAATTATTCAAAATATACAACAGAACAGCTTTATTCGTTCAATCCATTTGAAACCAGTTCAACGTCCCAAACGCACTACAATCTTCACTTCAGAGAGGGGTAAATAAAATCAAAAAAGAAATACTTGTGGAAGTTCAAAACACTAAGTTATTTACATATTTCTTTCATTTTTGGTATTACACACTACACGTTACAGGGGAATCGGGGGTAGGGCAGGGTGCACAAGTAAATGCATATGAAATATATATAGCAAGCAAACATTTAAACTACAATTTGAGCATTTTCATCTACATATGGGGGGTACATCAGCTTGGGATGTGCTGCTGGGCCTGGGAGGCTTCTTTGTAAAAAGAGATGACTTCCCATCGAACAGGTCAGAGAACATTTGGAAAGTGGGATTCTCTTCTGACTTCTTCCAATCCTTTGAGCTTTTTTCTCTCCTATCTTTGCTACCAAAGTTGAGATTAAATTTCTTGAATAGACGCCTTGGTTCACCTGTAGCTATTGGTTCTTCAGACATGATCCTATGGCTATCCTCTGGATGAATCAACATTGTCTCCACTGTTTCATACACCTATAAGCCGTTTTACAATGCAAGCATCAGTTTTATCACCATACAATACCACTAACTCAGGTTTTCTTCTTGTGTCATTCATAAAACCAAGTGACTGGCAGTTTACTACAGGGACAAGAATGTGGCAAGATGCCAAGATGGATTTTCTTGTTCAGGTGGTTCACATACTCACCATGATAAAAATCGTACCAAAGTCTACTAAGCAAAAAAAAAAAAATTTGATCAAAGTGTAATACCAAAGCCATTTACAATCTCAACAGTTCTTTTTTTTTATCTTGCTGAATTCTCACCTTATCCTTTTACCCTTGCATAAGATATTATAGCAAACAGTTCATTTCATCAAAACTGTGCAGGCAGAACATTTCTATTTCTAAATCATGATAAACAACTGTGCAAGAGACATAAGAAAACCCACTTCTCTGTTCCCACTAAGCCTATACCTCTATATGTAATCCAAGTTTATCTACAAGGATGTGTTACTAAGGTTTTATCCCTGGAGTCCAGAAAACTAAATTATATGTGTTCATGATGATATTCAAAATTTAAACATGTGCAACAAACAGAAACTTTGGAGGATTCAATCCAAGATATCTATAAAATTGCACAATCCAAGAAATAGTTATCCCAAGAAAGCCCAGGACACTAATTGATATGGACATACATAGAAATTTGGGAAAAAATGAGAATTACAAATAATAAGACCTAAGAGAATCCCTTAAACATAAAATGGAAAATATGAAAAAAGCAACAAGGACTTCAGTAGCAAGAGTATGAGGTGAAGGTTCCAACACCATCCTTGGAGTCCTAGAACTGACAATGTATGAGATGTGACCTGGAGTTGATCAGAATTCATCTGATTAAGCCAGATATAGATCTCAAATGGTAGTTTTGTTTATTAGCAGATGAAATATGGATCCATTTCATCTGATATGATCAAACAACAAAACACACATTTACATATACAAACGATTGGCATTTATGATATCTAAATTCAATTAGTCAGATTTGATTTATTTATCACTAAGTATGTGCTTAGATCAAAATCAAATCAAGAATTATCTAATCCAAATCCAACCCATCATGGCCATACTTGGAACCTTTTCTTCAATTTTGTTAGGTAATCTGTATGGACCTGCATTTTTGGCACAGATAACAATCAGGTCTAGAGTCTACCTGGCAGAGATCATCAATATTGTCAGTCCAAGTATCTCCCTGGAACATGGCAATCGTGTAGTCCTTGCACTCATAAAACACCTTGGATAAGTTACTGTTTTTAGCAAGTGTAGTTTCAGCAATAATAAAGCCTGAACCAAGCTGCAAAATCCAGAAAAGTATGATTGCATTAGTACCAAATGAATAAACGAAACTAAGATTAGTTTTTATTGATGAATATAAAACCTAGATTTAATTTGGAATTCATGTCATTTATAGAAGGAATAACCCATGAGAATGTGGGCATAAGACTTTGTATAGAGAAAAACAGGAAGATAATATGAAGAACCATCAAGAAATTCTGTAATATTTTGAAGAATCAAAATATTGTTTTGACATTTGTAAGTATTTTTTTGGTAAACCAGATATTTAGAAGCTGGAAGATTGGTTTGGTGATGGAATGAGCAAAGGAAGAAATTAGTTCAGAAACTCTGGACAAATCAGCAGAAAGTTCATACACAGTATAAGAACGCATTCATAAATCCATTCTTCCCCTATTGTGCAGATTCTCCATATAGTAACATTTTCAGGGGGTGAGGAATTAATGGATGGGCACACTACTAGGTCAAAATGTTGCTAAATGATATCAGTGGATTCCCTTAGAGAGAATTCAACTCTTAAATTGAAAAGGTAATAACGTAATAACAGTTTCCTGAAACAAAGTACAACATGCCCACAAGTTAATGCAGGATGCTAAATGCATGTGTTTTCTTGGTAAACACAAAGCAGGATCTCAGAATAGTGAGAGAAGAGGAGGGAGAAGAGAGAAGAGAGAAGAGAAAAAAGGTTTTGGAGAAGATAAAAACATCAGCTGGCGGCACCAGCCTTTTTGATATTTATATTAGGGCGACCACTCAAATAATAAAACAATGTAAAATTACATATGTGCCCTTGCGGCACTAAACTAAAGTAAGACTAACTTATTCAACACTCCATAAACGTCAATCATGCCCAACTTGTCACATAAGTCATTGTGCCGTGAGTGATGTAAGCCTTTTGTAAATATATCTGCAAGTTGCTCCTTAGAACTAACATATGGGGTGCACACTTCCCCATTAACAATTTTCTCTCTAATAAAGTGTTTGTCAACCTCAATATGTTTAGTTCTATCATGAAGAACTGGGTTGGCTGCAATGTTGATGGCAGCCTTGTTATCACAATACAAAGACATGGGGCTATCAACTGGAAAACCCAATTCGCTCAACAAATTCTTTATCCACATGGCTTCAGCCGCTCCATGGGACATTGCTCTATACTCAGCTTTAGCACTAGACCTAGCCACCACACTTTGTTTCTTGCTTCTCCATGTGACTAGGTTTCCTCCCACAAAAGAACAATACCCACTAGTGAACTATCTGTCATCAACTGATCCAGCTCAATCAACATCTGTATACACTTCAATCTTCAAATGCTCATTGTTCTAAAATAGCAAACCAGCTCCTAGAAACTTCTTTAGATATCTGAGGATTCTCTCGGCTACCTCTAAGTGTGTGGTCTTAGGAGCATGCATGAATTGATTAAGAACACCTATGGCATAAGCATGTCTAGTCGGGTCATGGACAAATACAGGAGCCTTCCCACAAGTCTCTGGAATTGCTATACATCCTTGATAACCTCGCCACAACAGTCACCCAGTCTGTGATTTGGATCAATGAGAGAGTCAACTGGCTTAACCCCTAGTTTTCCTAAATCCTGTAACAAATCTAGGATATATTTCCTTTGAGAAATGAAGATCCCCTCTTGTGAGAGTTGAAAATAGTTCACTTGATGTATGGAACTGTTTGAGATTAGATGCAAAACAGAAACTAAACAAACAAGAGAGGAAGGGAAGAGAGAGAGTTGGCGGCAATGAGTGTTAGAGAGTGAGAGTTTCGAACTTAACCTCACTCTAACACTCTAAACATTTTATTAAGGTGTTAATCTTTGATAAATTATAGAGAGGCCCTTGAGTGGGCAGAAAAATAC